CTACTTTTTTTTTTTTTTTTTTTTTTCACACCACACACACACACACCAGGAAGCAGCCCGTGACAGCTGACTAACTCCCAGGTACCTATTTACTGCTAGGTAACAGGGGCACTTAGGGTGAAAGAAACTTTGCCCATTTGTTTCTGCCTCGTGCGGGAATCGAACCCGCGCCACAGAATTACGAATCCTGCGCGCTATCCACCAGGCTACGAGGCCCCCTATAATTATTGTATGAAATGCGACACAGTATTTCATGGCCATTGGGAAGGAACGCCTTGACTCTCTCTTCCTCTTTCTTCTGTGTCGTGGCAGGAAGACTGTTATTTTACAGAACTTCAGTTCAATTTCACGATTTTGAAACACAGGGCGATGGGAATTATCTGGGGAAAACACCACCTATTACGACTATATAGCGCTTGGAAGGGGTCAGGATAAGGATTTGGGATGGCACGGGAGGATAGAAGGAATCCAATCACTTGGACGATCGGGGATTGAACGCCGACGTGCATGAAGCGAGACCGTCGCTCTACCGTTCAGCGCAAGTGTGTGTGTATGTACTCACCTAGTTGTACTCACCTAGTTGTGTTTGCGGGGGTTGAGCTCTGGCTCTTTGGTCCCGCCTCTCAACCGTTAATCAACAGGTGTACAGATTCCTGAGCCTATCGGGCTCTGTCATATCTACACTTGAAACTGTGTATGGAGTCAGCCTCCACCACATCACCCCCTAATGCATTCCATTTGTCAACCACTCTGACACTAAAAAAGTTCTTTCTAATATCTCTGTGGCTCATTTGGGCACTCAGTTTCCACCTGTGTCCCCTTGTGCGTGTTCCCCTTGTGTTAAATAGACTGTCTTTATCTACCCTACCAATCCCCTTCAGAATCTTGAATGTGGTGATCATGTCCCCCCTAACTCTTCTGTCTTCCAGCGAAGTGAGGTTTAATTCCCGTAGTCTCTCCTCGTAGCTCATACCTCTCAGCTCGGGTACTAGTCTGGTGGCAAACCTTTGAACCTTTTCCAGTTTAGTCTTATCCTTGACTAGATATGGACTCCATGCTGGGGCTGCATACTCCAGGATTGGCCTGACATATGTGGTATACAAAGTTCTGAATGATTCTGTACACAAGTTTCTGAATGCCGTTCGTATGTTTGCCAGCCTGGCATATGCCGCTGATGTTATCCGCTTGATATGTGCTGCAGGAGACAGGTCTGGCGTGATATCAACCCCCAAGTCTTTTTCCTTCTCTGACTCCTGAAGAATTTCCTCTCCCAGATGATACCTTGTATCTGGCCTCCTGCTCCCTTCACCTACCTTCATTACATTACATTTGGTTGGGTTAAACTCTAACAACCATTTGTTCGACCATTCCTTCAGCTTGTCTAGGTCTTCTTGAAGCCTCAAACAGTCCTCTTCTGTTTTAATCCTTCTCATAATTTTAGCATCGTCCGCAAACATTGAGAGAAATGAATCGATACCCTCCGGGAGATCATTTACATATATCAGAAACAAGATAGGACCGAGTACAGAGCCCTGTGGGACTCCACTGGTGACTTCACGCCAATCGGAGGTCTCACCCCTCACCGTAACTCTCTGCTTCCTATTGCTTAGATACTCCCTTATCCACTGGAGCACCTTACCAGCTACACCTGCCTGTCTCTCCAGCTTATGTACCAGCCTCTTATGCGGTACTGTGTCAAAGGCTTTCCGACAATCCAAGAAAATGGATTGCCCTCTCCCTCTCTTTCTTGCTTGATCCGTGTCACCTGATCGTAGAATTCTATCAAGCCTGTAAGGCAAGATTTACCCTCCCTGAATCCATGTTGGCGATTTGTCACGAAGTCCCTTCTCTCCAGATGTGTTACCAGGTTTTTTCTCACGATCTTCTCCATCACCTTGCATGGTATACAAGTCAAGGACACTGGCCTGTAGTTCAGTGCCTCTTGTCTGTCGCCCTTTTTGTATATTGGGACCACATTCGCCGTCTTCCATATTTCTGGTATGTGTGTGTGTGTGTGTGTGTGTGTGTGTGTGTGTGTGTGTGTGTGTGTGTGTGTGTGTGTGTGTGTGTGTGTGTGTGTGTGTGTGTGTAATTACCTAAGTGTAGTTACAGGATGAGAGCTACTCTCATGTAGAACCTAGCCCGATCGACCAATGCATGGAAAACGTGAATGTAAGTGAGCTACTGTGATTTATACAGCCCGTCCTCCAAACAAAGACCTAAAAGTGATTCCATGCACCCGCCAAACCCCCCAGCTGTTTATGAATAAAACTCGGTTTACACATGACTCACAACTGATGACGTTCGAACACTTCCGGAACAAGTGCTTCACTGACAAATTTTGTTCAAACCACAACGCTGTAAATGCTTCACCCACGTACTACAAATACAAATAATCGCCAACAAAACCTAAACACCTAACATAACCAGTGCCTAAATATGCACAATATGCATACATACAATAATAATTAATATTTGAGAAAAGTTCTTTTTTGAATGAACAGAATGTTAAAATTGATGAATGCGTCTTTGGGGTCGACCGCTGGATAGAATGGACTTGATCCGAGGACGTGTTGGATTTACGATACCACTTGATTTGTCCATTCGAGATTTTGACGTCTAAATGAAGTGAACAATGTTAAAGGACTAGGTCGTACCCACAGAGCTTTAAAACCATGGAACCGCTTACCCGCCGAAACTGTTGATGCCAAAACTCTGCTTAAATTTAATGTCCAGCTTGAAAAAACTCAGGACAAATGGGGGAGGGGGGGGGCCATTGATAAACCGTCGGCTTCCTGTCCTCATCGAGGTCACTAGAGTGTTAGTGGCCCCTCAAGTAAATTCAGGTAAATTCAGGACGGGTTGGGTGAGGATGCTGCGGGAGATTTATTGTAACTGGAGAGAGAGGCGATGACCGAGAAGTGGCAGCAAGTTAGTGGAGATGCTGGGATGATATATATATATATATATATATATATATATATATATATATATATATATATATATATATATATATATATATATATATATATATATATATATATGTCGTACCTAGTAGCCAGAATGCACTTCTCAGCCTACTATGCAAGGCCCTTTTTGCCTAATAAGCCAAGTTTTCATGAATTAATATATTTTCTCAATTTTTTTTCTTATGAAATGATAAAGCTACCCATTTCATTATGTATGAGGTCAATTTTTTTTTATTGGAGTTAAAATTAACGTAGATATATGACCGAACCTAACCAACCCTACCAAACCTAACCTAACCTATCTTTATAGGTTAGGTTAGGTGGCCGAAAAAGTTAGGGGAGGATATGCCGACACCTGACGGCATATCCCTTCCCCTTCTCCCTTCTCCTTTAGTCAGTCTGGTGTTGACAAAGGCTTTAACAAGCCGAAACGTTCACCTCATTTCATATTTCTCTGTGGATTTTCCGCATAAAATGATCAGTGTTTTGTGATCGTCAATTGCATATATATATATATATATATATATATATATATATATATATATATATATATATATATATATATATATATATATATATATATATATATATATATATATATATAAAATCTGTACTAATTAAATATAGTATTATGTACTATACAGACACTATGAACTTGTTTAACGTAATGGAAACTCCTTTATCATTAAATGTGTCCTACGAAATGTCAAAATATAGCTTTTTAACACTTTTATATATCAAAAGAATTTAATCACATAATCTAAGTAATGAGATGAAAAAAAAAGACATGAGGGTTGAGCCGTAGAGGTGTGCCCACTCAACGGGATAAACAAGGATATTTTAACCAGGAAGTGGTGGGAAAGAAGTTATCCTTGTAGAGTAAAGTTGTCTAATATAGTTTAATAAGAGTATAGCGGATGCTCGGGGGTGCAGGCGTTCTTCCCAGTGGCCGTCTGGCCCCGCCCAGAGCAGTATACAATACGCAAGTCACACACCTTTACCCTTGATTCGTCATATACTACTCTCTATACTCACCTCTATTCCACAACCATCACTCAAATATTTTCATGCGTCCACACCCGGTTACCTACACCATGGGCCACCCACCCTGGCTACCCACACCCCCACCCACCCACCCTGGCTACCCACACCCCCCATCCACACCCCCATCCACACCCACCCTGGCTACCCACACCCCCACACACCCACCCTGGCTACCAACACCCCCACCCACCCACCATGGCTACCCACATCCCCATCCACACCCACCCTGACCACCTTCCCTACACACTACCAACATTACATCAGCAAAAGAACAAGGTCTCCACAAAGGCCCCATAAACCTTGCCGACATCCACGGGGCTGTGAAGGAAGGAGGAGCCTGGGCGTGCCATAGCAAAGGTCAAAGTCATACCCGCGTGACAAGGCGCAAAAAAAGACACACATGACATAAAAAAAAACAACAACAACATCACGACAAACACAACAACAACATTCAAATGCATTTACAACCTGAATAGGATTTCGGACCTCTCATGCAGTCACGTATAATTCAGTATTCCATAATACGTATTTCGAGTTGGCTTCAGTGGTGTGATCTTTTGAGACACATATGTATCGTCACTACCCCCTTGACACGTGCCCCCCTCAAGTGCATGTGTCCTCCCAGGCGCCGACAAGGTGACAGAGTGAAACGCAGCTTTCATTATCCAACCAACACACATTGTGTGAATCTGGAACGTCAATTAAGTCGAAAGACTAGCAATAACGACGGCTATCATAGGCTACCGGGTACAGGCCGAGTGACAGTCTAGAGTGAATAGTGAGTACAGGGAGGGGAATTATCAAAGGAAATCGCCAAGCCATTACGACTATATAGCACTGGGAAGGGGTCAGGATAAGGATTTGGGATGGGACGGTGGGAAAGGAATGGTGCCCAACCAATTGGACGGTCGGGGGATTGAACACCGAACTGCATAAAGCGAGACCGTCGCTCTACCGTCCAGCTCAAGTGGTTGGAATTTAGGAATAATGGCTTCAAGGTCACGAGTAGAAGGAGAGTTGACGGAGATGACACAAGGAGGGACAGTTGACAGCCAGATAGAGTTGACTCTCAGAGGTAGTTACGTTTGGCACTAAGGAGATGCCGTCCAAGACAGAACAGCTGAAGGACGTTTGAAGTTGAGAGTTGACACATGAAGGAAGAGTTGGCACTCAATGGCACTCGAAGAGCGGTGTCTGTATGACGTAATGACAGATTGCTCGACATTGCTTAATGGTCATTCCACGATGAGTGACACTTGGAGGTCATTCCACTAAGAGAGGTGACAATTAAAGGTCATTCTACTAAGAGAGGTGACAATAGGAGGTCATTTCACTAAGAGAGGTGACAATTAGAGGTCATTCCAGTAAGAGAGGTGACAATTAGAGGTCATTCCACTAGGAGAGATGCCACTAGGATGTCATCCCAGGATGACAGCCAGCGCATGAACATTCCATATGTTACTAGAAACTAGTGCATGCTTTACTTCTTTGCAAGTTTCATGCAACAATGATCACTAGAAAAGCTTACTGCTAATGAATAATTAATTACCCCGTGCAGAATGACATTATTCACTCTGCAGTCCTCGCGATGGAAGAGGACAGGCTGAAGGAGATGGAAGAGAAGGGACTGGAGGAGATGGAAGAGAAGGAACTAGACGAGATGGAAGAGAAGGGGCAATAGGAAATAGGAAATACGTAGGGGGAAGAGGAGGAGGCGTAGGAGCAACTAGAGAAGGAAGGGAAGCACGGGATAGGTTTCAAAATGAGATAAAAAAAAGGTCTAGCCCGATATAGGTGACCTCGTCAGGCGCTACAGCCCTCGAGGGAGGTGACGAGGGTAATTCCGGCCGAGACGTGACCTTTCCGGCCTCGTAATCTCCCTCACCAAAGAACCTGGAAAACAAATTATAAACAAAACTTGAAATATGAACGACGCAAATATCCAGTCAGGTGTTTGTTATAATTTCGGCTTGAAGGAGGCCTGATGGCTGAGTGGACAGCGCTCGGGATTCGTAGTTCTAAGGTCCCGGGTTCGATCCCCGGCGGAGGCAGAATGAAATGGGCAGAGTTTCTTTCGCCCTGATGACCCTGGTCACCTAGCAGTAAATAGGTACCGCGGGAACGCTAAGCACCGAAATCATCTCAAGATAACCTCCCCATAGTCGGGGAGAGATAACCTGTTTGGCTTATCGAGTTATCTACTTCCCCCCCCCCCCTATCACCCTAGGGTGTAGGCAAAATACTGATGACTTTAAGCAGGATGCGCGCCACAACAGTTGCCTAACTCCAGAGGTATCTATCTACTACTAGGTTGAACTTATGTCTCTATCCTGTCGCGAAGGATTGAACCCGGGACCTTTCGTTGTGTGTCGGGGATGTACACTACTGCGCTACCTTGCCCAGTAACTCTCTGGTGCCCAGAAGACGGAGTGAAGCCACTCTGAGTAAGCCAGCTACAGGTTCGAAGCTTGCTCCATGGACCCCTGAGGCTCAGGTTCGAACCCTGCTCCCAGGACTCCTGAGGCATTGTTAATATTGAACCAACTTTATCGAGTTTTCATCAATTTATCAATTTTTATTTCAGGTCGATAACAGCCGAAAAATCGGTAGGAAAACACTCTATGGATAACCAATCCCACGTTTCAGACGTCTGGGAGTCATAGGTTATGGCAATAAGAACCTGTCATAATATAAACACCGGAAATGAGGGATTCGAACCCCCAACCAATCAAACGACATATACACCGTTCCCTACAGACCACTTACACACACGAAGAACAAACAGACCTCCACATGTATTATCTCAACAATTAATCTAGAATACGATTCGACTCGATTCTTACAATTTCACGTCCGATTACGTCCAATCTTACAATTTTACGTCCGATTTTACATCCAGGCATTTTCCTGGACGTGAAACGAACTGAGGTAAGTCTCACGTCAGTGTAGAACGGTTCCAAATGTCCTCATCACTGCTTCACTATCCAAGGAAACAAAAAAAAAAAAGAAATGCCCGTCCCGATTGATTTTTTATCTGTTTATATATATATATATATATATATATATATATATATATATATATATATATATATATATATATATATATCTATATATATATATATATATATATATATATATATTTTTTTTTTGAGTGTGGTGATAACTGAATTACAATTCTTGCTTTAAAAAGCTAAAGTTGAGGATATTGTTTAATATTGTAAAGTTGACTCGTTTTAAATATTTTAATAAATTTCAGAGAAAATCACTATGGTGGAAATTCTGAGCTTTAATTACAAACATTTCACACATTTCTTAATAATTTTCTCTTCAACGTGATCAATTTAATCAGAATATTCGTATTTTATTGTGATAAACGTATATTATTCAATGATGTTATTCTTAAACTTTATTGGCTTGACATTGCCATTATATTATTAAACGCTATTTATTTTTGCGTTTAATTATTTAAAAGCTTTAAACATATATATAATTCAAAGCAATTGACGAAAGTTATACTTTGCACTTTAAATCAAGCAAATGTCAAGTCCATAAAATTGATTTCAGAGTAATATCAATGAATAATATCAATTTATCACAATAAAATAAAATTCCTCTGATCAAATTGATCTCGTCGAAGAGAGAATTATTGCAAACAGAGGTTCATTCATTTCGTTATTGTAATTTCAAAATATTATTCATTTTTAACAAATCCAAAACTATATTTCTTGTCCTTTCCTTGGCTATAAAGTTGCAAGTAAGAGCAATCTTACTTGCAAGAGCAAGCAAGACACAATCTAGTATAATTATTGTATGAAATGCGACACAGTATTTCATGGCCATTGGGAAGGAACGCCTTGACTCTCTCTTCCTCTTTCTTCTGTGTCGTGGCAGGAAGACTGTTATTTTACAGAACTTCAGTTCAATTTTACGATTTTGAAACACAGGGCGATGGGAATTATCAGGGGAAAACACCACCTATTACGACTATATAGCGCTTGGAAGGGGTCAGGATAAGGATTTGGGATGGCACGGGAGGATAGAAGGAATCCAATCACTTGGATGATCGGGGATTGAACGCCGACGTGCATGAAGCGAGACCGTCGCTCTACCGTTCAGCGCAAGTGGGTGGGCATTTCCACAGGGCGAGCTGTCAGTTATTTTAACAAAACACAATGCCAGGCAATAATAATGGTCACTAAAGATCCAGGTTACTATAGATTCCAACCCTCGGTGGTCGAAGTGGTTGGGCAACGATTCTTTATTCTTCCCTATATTCTATATTCTTGTTATCATACCCTAGTCCCTCCTCCTCATATCCCAGGTTATTGTTCCCATATCCCAGGTTATTGTCCTCATATCCCAGGTTATTGTCCTCATATCCCAGGTTATTGTCCTCATATCCCAGGTTATTGTCCTCAAATCCCAGCTCCTTGTCCTCATATCCCAGTTCAAGGCGTCCTCATATCCCAGCTCAATGTCCGCATATCCCAGCTTATTGTCCTAAAATCCCAATTCCTTGTTTTCATTTCCCAGTTCTTTGTCCTTGTTTCCCAGCTCAAAGTCCATATCTCCCAACTCCTTGTCCTCATATCTCAGCTCATTGTCTTGGGTCCTAGCTTTGGTATTCCAACTTCTTGTCCTCATATACCACCTGCTTATACCAGAATACCAGAAATACATTTCACCTTTGTAAATGCACATTAATGACACTATGTAAAAGACACATCGAACACTTTATGTATACGTAAATCTGTGTATCTATGTTTTTACGTATGTAGGTTAGCTTAGCATTTTAAAAGCACCGAATCACCTTCTGTGGTTGACTGTTCAATAAACCCTTGAACTATATGTTTAACACATCTCTAACCCTGTCCATGGAGGACAGAAGAAAATGTATATATGCTGGTTAGCATTGTAAATGTGTGGCCACGTCTGTGGTAGAAAAAAACCCTGCTTGTCCTCATATACCACCTGCTTGTTCTCATATAAAAGCTCCTTGTTCTGAGACGTCTTTCATGTGATACATATTCTTAGTAGTGTACATGTTCCTTCTGTTAACTGCCTTACCTCGCCCAACTCCGACATTTGTGGCGACGTGCAAATCCAAGCTCAAGACGGTTCCTCTGATCTTCACTTCAGTTGACATGAAAACCCTTTTTCTTCTTCAGTAAACAGGATTTAGTTTTAATCATGTCTTGCCTGTTCACTCCGGCTGATACACTTGTTTCATGTCAAAAATAAATTCCTGTTTCGTCGATGTAGTGGCTGTTCTAATTTGTTATTATTATTATTATTGGTTTTAGAAATAAAATTCTTTTTTATGAAGATCATTTTTGTCATTAATTTTAATGTAGTGAAGAAAATATATCAATAATTCATGTCTACAACGTTGTCAGAATGGACAATGTTTGTGTGTGTGTGTGTGTGTGTGTGTGTGTGTGTGTGTGTGTGTGTGTGTGTGTGTGTGTGTGTGTGTGTGTGTGTGTGTGTCTGTGTGTGTGTGTCTGTGTGTGTGTGTGTGTGTGTGTGTGTGTGTGTGTGTCTGTCTCTCTCTCTCTCCCTCTCTCTCTCTTTATATATATATATATATATATATATATATATATATATATATATATATATATATATATGTCGTACCTAATAGCCAGAACGCACTTCTCAGCCTACTATTCAAGGCCCGATTTGCCTAATAAGCCAAGTTTTCATGAATTAATGTTTTTTCGTCTACCTAACCTACCTAACCTAACCTAACCTAGCTTTTTTGGCTACCTAACCTAACCTTACCTATAAATATAGGTTAGGTTAGGTTAGGTAGGGTTGGTTAGGTTCGGTCATATATCTACGTTAATTTTAACTCCAATAAAAAAAAATTGACCTCATACATAGAGAAAAGGGCTGCTTTATCATTTCATAAGAAAAAAATTATAGTAAATATATTAATTCAGGAAAACTTGGCTTATTAGGCAAATCGGGCCTTGAATAGTAGGCTGAGAAGTGAGTTCTGGCTACTAGGTACGACATATATATATATATATATATATATATATATATATATATATATATGTCGTACCTAATAGCCAGAACGCACTTCTCAGGCTACTATGCAGGGCCCGATTTGCCTAATAAGCCAAGTTTTCCTGAATTAATATATTTTCTCTAATATTTTTCTAATGAAATGATAAAGCTATTCATTTCATTATGTATGAGATCAATTTTTTTTTATTGGAGTTAAAATTGACGTAGATATATGACCGAACCTAACCAACCCTGCCTAACCTAACCTAACCAATCTTTATAGGTTAGGTTAGGTTAGGTAGCCTAAAAAAGCTAGGTTAGGTTAGAATAGGTAGGTTAGGTAGACGAAAAAACATTAATTCATGAAAACTTGGCTTATTAGGCAAATCGGGCCTTGAATAGTAGGCTGAGAAGTGCGTTCTGGCTATTAGGTACGACATATATATATATATATATATATATATATATATATATATATATATGTCGTACCTAGTAGCCAGAATGCACTTCTCGGCCTACTATGCAAGGCCCATTTTGCCTAATAAGCCAAGTTTTCCTGAATTAATATATTTTCTCTAATTTTTTTCTTATGAAATGATAAAGCTACCCATTTCATTATGTATGAGGTCAATTTTATTTTATTGGAGTTAAAATTAACG